TTGATTGTTCGGAGGGGAGAGAGGGGATAGGGGGGGGGGGGGGCAATAATACATCCAGAAGGGCAATGGTGAATGGTGTTTAGTTGCAGTAATGGAATTGGTCGGTTGTAAAAATTTTGTCAGGGAAGCAATCCTTTTTTTCTGCAGGGGGTGGGTAGAATGCATTACCCCCTTGCCCTCCTGTAGCTGCGGTCCTGCTGTCGTCACATGTTTCGGATAAACAATCTTCATCAGGACCATTTAATTTAAAATGTGGTTTAACATAAAGATTCCAGTAGCACCCGAGCGTGAAATACAGCCAATATAAACTAAGCCAATGTGTCAACATTAAATCTTTACCTTCAAGTCTTGTAAAATAGATTTTTTAACATCAAATGTAATAGTAAGAAATACGCCTTGATTTTTCTCCAGTGTGTCGATTGAACAGGTTATATTTAAACATTCTTTAATAGAACATCTCTGAAAGATAAAACACAGGTAGAGTAATCACCTTTCATTAACAACACATACCTGATACAAACAAAATAAATTACATAGTGGTAGCAGGTATTCTTCTAAAACTTAGTGTTTGAGGACGTCACTAATCGCGAAGGGCCTTATGTGTTAAAGCCTATTTTGTGATTAGTGAGTCTTGTATGTACCTGAACATTATTTTTAAAAATACAAGTAAGATCACCAAGGTAACTCACCAATTCGCTTTCTGGTATAAAATCAGATTTATCATCATCTTCTTGGTATCTAACGAGTTTAAACGAGGCTCGAGGACCAGTGACGTCTGGTGTCCATTTCATTATACATCCTTTACCAACAGTATAATCTGGATCTTCTGAACGAATCTATGAGGAAATGAAAAGTGTTACGGGTTTGAATAAGTATGAGGGGCACTTGTAATCATTCCTTCTCGTAGTCCCATGCCTGTGCTTTCTGTATGTCTTTAAATAAATCTTAAACATGAACCGACCATACCATAAAGTTTGACTGGTATTTGTCTAAGAAGCGTTCATTTTGTCAACTAAAAGGAAATTAAAAAGGGTGTTCTACCTAGAATGCCAGGGACAGAAATTACCTTGACGTTTAATCACTAATAAGTCAGCATGTAAACAAACTGTTACCATCAGAGAAAGGTAAATGTTATATGATTTTGATAATATCGCCTGGAGCGTCAAGATTGTTTAAACTTACCTGTACGTCTTTAACTGAAACATATTTAGAATTGGGAGATAGAAGTTCTATATAACCACGAGGAAATGGACTAGGTCCGTGATTCCTCACATCAAATACATGTTTCATCTCCACCCAATCTCCGTCTTCATCAACATCATCATCAGCTTCGTATTTTAGATGAATCTGGGCCGGTATAGCAGCTCTGAAATAAAATAATCAATATTTTAACATTAAACTCCTTAACATTCTGGTACAGTTGCTTTGAAGTATCCAAGATAAAAAGTTGTATCTATTGTATCTAAGAGAGAAAGAAAGAAATGACGCCATGTAGCGATTCCAATGCTCTAACCGATTGAACTACAGCCCGTCCTCAAATAGTGTCATGATGAATATTGGTCTAGTCTCCCTTCCTGGACGATCTTTATAACATGGGCACACATTTTTTCTAATAATCGTCACGTCAAGTTAAGAGTACCATAGTGGAAACGTTGCTAAGTCAATAGCCATTCAAAGAAGTGTAGAGTCGTTGTTCAACAGGGTCCTCTGCCAGAGTTCTGCCCAAGAACTCATAAAAGCTACTTCAGTAACACCAAGTAACAACAAGTAACATTTCCAGTTGTCCACCTTCATTCTACCAGATCTTAGATTGTTATTTTACAATAGCCAGTCAAGTAAGTGTAGGGTCGTTGTTCAGTCGTTGCTCTGCCAGAGTTCTGCCCAGGAACTCATAAAAGTAACCCCCAGTAACATTTCCAGTTCTCCACCTTCATTCTACCAGATCAATGAAACTTACCCAGTAAGACCTAAAGCTGATTTGACACGAGCTTCAACAGTAGCAGTGACATTATTATTCCTAGGGTTAAGTTCCTGACTCGCCGTCTCGGCCTCTACATCAATTACAAACTGTTTTAAATTGAAGGAGAATTTCTCAGGCATAAATCTCACAGTGAAGATGATCTCTTCTCGACTTCGTAATGGATGGGAAATGTCACATTCCATGGTGTTCGTGTGGTTTTGAGACTCTAACGCCTTCGAGAGACAGATAATATCTGAATTACCAACGATACTTTTTACTCGACCATAGTGGACATTTTTAGGATAACGAAAGCGCACCACTGTTAAATAAGCTAGCTCTGCTGTATTGCATAAAAAGACCTGGACCTCAAAAGATGGCGCATCATCTAAGATGAGGTATTTTTCGTTGTTTTTATAAATAAGTGTTGTCTTCAGAACTAAATCAGCCTGGCAAATATCATCAGCTCCACAATCTTTCATAAACGACACCTGAAATTATGATTATTTTAATAAAATCATGATAACATATAGGTTAAGTATCGTAAATTCTACCCACCGTATTAAAACGGGGGCCAGTTTCTTACAACAACGTCAACTGAAGGTAGAAATCTTCTCAAAAACGGACTTCATTTATATAGAAACGTTTTTGCTCCGTTATACGAGATATTGCCACAATTATGGGAGTGAAATTTTGAATCGATGATACCAAAAACAGAAACACGCCAGCTTGATCATGGATCGCCAAAGGATAGTTCCAAGTCAATCAGAAATCCTAGCAGCCCTGTCGTTAGGGTGGAGTCCGTGGGGACTAGGGCCCAGCAAGTGAAAATTAAACCCCAGCAAAACCTTCTTCAGTTCAGCAGAGATTGATTCATTACAGTGTCTTTGTACAAAATCAAAAAGGTCTAGATTTTGATAGTTTTTGGCACCTCAAAATTGTTCTCTGGGCCTTTAATTCTTCAACACAAAATCTAAGCCCCAGCACCAATTCATTACTGATGACGAGGATGAATCTCAGATGATAATTTCACCTATGACCTATTTCACCAGGGATTATTTTATGGAAAAAGTTGGACAGCCACAAGACTTTTCGAAATATAAAACAAACAAACAGTGTTGTTATTAAACTTACCCGTTCTGAAACTGACGATGGATTGTAGACGTTGACCAGGGGACAGATATGACAGGCGGGGGTAGTTTTATCACGTGACAGGGTATAATTTAAATCAAACTGTAGAGGTGTTACTATATCTCGACTTTTCTAAAAAAAAAACCACTTTTTGTTACATGAGCTTTGTTTTGGGGGTTTAAAAGATATTTTTGGATACACTTAACTTATATGTTGGCCCTCTAATGTGTTTTTTTGCAAAACCTTATTTGAAATTACTAACGAAAATACATTGGCATTTTCCATAATAACCTTAAATTCTGCCCAGAGAAGGAAATCAGATAGAGTCAACAGAAGTTCTACGTCCGAATTGAATCGCTCCCTACCTTAGTAAAAACCGTGTACGATTGTCCACAATTCCAGTTGTCTTGTCGTAACTGTATCGTATCTTTTATAACCTCCGTTTCATCACCGTATCTATCAAATATAAACAACCGTTGCCGTTCACGTCGATGTCTTGGCATGGTGTCCAGATTTAAAACGAATGACAATTCTGAAAAATAACAGTATATGCGCTTCGTTATGATAAACATTTAAGATATGGGGAACTTTGTATACCACGAATACTGCTATCCTGGCAAAATTTCCCTCATTGCACACTGCATGGCATTTCCCGTCTTCATTAGCCCAATTAGGAGCTGATAAAAGTTCACTTTGCTACGGAAGAGGTTACGATGTTCCCGATATTTAAATCCACTTACTATAAGTTGCTGGTAGACTAACACCATAATATTTAAAACAAGCCTTAGCTTTAACACACTGAGCAGGTGCCCCGAGATACAGACAGTTGGGGGTACCGTCAGGGTCGATAACTCGTGGTTGTATATCTAATCTTGCTACCAGATCAACTACAGGTCGACCTGCTAACAATACAGCTGAATCTGAGGCGAACGATCCTATAACCAGATCTATAAATAGAAGATAAAGCGTTATGGAAGGTCCATTTCAGTAATATTTCAAAGTCAGCGGTGCGCTCGTGACACGTTCCTTTTGTGAATTTTGTCTGTGATTCCTGTAATTCCACTAAAACTAAGTGTTTGATGACATCACTAGTATCATAAAATGGTTTATCACATAAGGCCCTTTGCGATTATGACGTCATCAAAGACTAAGAAGTTTAGTGAAATTGCAGGAATCACAGACGTCTGATTGAAAATTGGAATGGTGTAAATTGATTATATCATCAGTGTCCCTGATACACATAAAAAATTTAGAAAACCTCTTTACAATCTCTTTAACAAGAACCACAGACATCTGATTGAAAATTAGAATGATGTAAATTGATGCTATCAGTGTCTCTGATACACATAAAAAATTTAGAAAACCTCTTGACAATCTCTTTAACAAGAACCATAGACGTCTGATTGAAAATTAGAATGATGTAAATTGATGCTATCAGTGTCTCTGATACACATAAAAAATTTAGAAAACCTCTTTAAAATCTCTTTAACAAGAACCACAGACATCTGATTGAAAATTAGAATGATGTAAATTGATGCTATCAGTGTCTCTGATACATATAAAATATAAGAAAACCTCTACAATCTCTTTAACAAGAACCACAGACATCTGATTGAAAATTAGAATGGTGTAAATTGATGCTATCAGTGTCTCTGATACACATAAAAAATTTAGAAAACCTCTTTACAATCTCTTTAACAAGAACCACAGACGTCTGATTGAAAATTAGAATGATGTAAATTGATGCTATCAGTGTCTCTGATACACATAAAAAATTTAGAAAACCTCTTTACAATCTCTTTAACAAGAACCACAGACATCTGATTGAAAATTAGAATGATGTAAATTGATGCTATCAGTGTCTCTGATACACATAAAAAATTTAGAAAAACTCTTTACAATCTCTTTATGTTTATTTACCATTATATTTGTCACCATCGACGTCAAAGGGTCTGGAAATGGACCAACCAAATCCTGAGAATACAGCTTTCATTTCATCTCCGACTATTCTTTGAGAATATTCCAGATGAATTCCACCATCTTTACCATTATAAATATAGACTACACCATTTCCTTCAAACGGCGCTCCGACTGCGATATCTAAATAAAAACCAGAGTGTTTGTAGTCAGAACATGCTGATAAAATAAATTGGTGATTACCATTACTAGAGTAACATAGTGAAAAATGAACATGGGCTCGGATTTTTAATGATTTATCTCTTTCTCGTCAGAGCCTATCCGACACTCCAGTTCAGCTAAGATAGGGAAAATCATGTTTAAAAATCGAGTGAAAAACGGGAGTAATTATCAATGTTTGCAGAAGGACTTGTGAATCGTTGGATAAAGAACAGTATAGCAATGTATATATTGAGCTTCTATTTGAAGAAGAAATAAAACGAACTTCAAGTGATTCTTACCTTGAAAACCATCATTATTTAAATCCTTCACGTTCATTAAAGTTGTACCAAATCGAGCTGCCGGGGTGTTAGAACCAACTAGTGGTTTAGAAGTTGGTTCAAGATTAAACTGAAATATAGATAGGTAACTTGTTTACTGGAAAATGTTTGTATACCGTGTGCCCAGTGCCCATTCTCAGAAAAGAGGTTGACCCGGCCTTGGCCCCCTACGTTAGAATTGTTATCATTTGGCATTGTCAAAGAATGGCTTGTGCCCAACCAAAATGGATTGAAAGTGCAGTTACTCAGAAATAAAACGCGAAACGAAACTTCAAGATCTACACTTAAATCAGATTAATAGGAATATGAAAGTGTCACTTACGAATTCCTGATTGATATAAACAAACACTCGACCTTCATCATAATCTACTGTATGTAATGGAGCTCCTACAACTAGATCATCTAGAGAGTCCCCATTTAAATCAACAGCACAGACCGAGGAGCCAAAATAACTTCCAAACTGAAATACAAGTTCGAAATTGGTATTATTCGGATGAACGGTTTCGGAGTTATTGCCCTTGACTTAGTAAAAATAGGCACGACGGATGTTTCTAGCTGAGGAATGTGATACGTCAATAATACAAAATACGTTATGTAAAATACAACCAGGTAGATGGTATGGATCTTGTTGTAATAGAATTTTAGTTTAAATACCGTTTAACATTCTTTCATATACCAGGAAACTTTCTAAGTAGATACTAAAATGTATTGAGATCTTGTGTTCAGATATATTGCTAGAATTACTTCCCTTCATCCAATGTAAGAAATAAACGACAATGAAAGTCACTAAATTGGGTTTGCTATTGATGAATACACAGAATTTATAAACAAATTATTAAACATCTTCCTACCTGCTCGCCCTCCTTAGTTAACATAATATCAAATCTATCATCGTACACAAATATCTAAAAATAAAAAAACCATGAGACACCCATAATCAAAACAGGTAAAAAACACAGACAGTTTGACAAATATCTAAAATCAAAGAAACCGTTAATCAATATGAACGTCGCGTGTTAAAATTAAGATTAGATGATAACGAAATCGATTCTTGTTTTTTGTCGAAAATCTAAATAAATACAAATCTTGATTCACAGTGGTTCAGCTAGGGAGATTTATCCTTAACATCTTGCAATTTTTTGGGCTTGGTTCGACAGTAATGTACAAAGCGATAGAAATAACGTAATATTTGTCCCAGTGTAGAAAATAACGTATATATTCTAACCTTGCCTTTATTTTCTGCCCTCGGACCACCGACAACTGTATAAATAGCATCTGCTGATAGTGCTGCCGTAGTTATAGAATATCCTGGAAATATACAAAACTTTCATTTATTTCAACATTAAAGAGATTGTAAAGAAGTTTAGTAAATTTAGTATCAGAGACACTGATAGCATCAATTTACATCATTCTAATTTTCAATCAGACGTCTGTGATTCCTGCAGTTTCACTAAAACTAAGTGTTTGATGACGTCACTAATCGCGACGGACCTTATGTGATAAAGCATATTTAGCGATTAGTGACGTCATGAATACCGACGTGGTAGGCCTATACTTACCTATATAAGAGTTGTTGTAAAAATGGCGAGATGGTTGGTTGACTTTTGGTCGTTCTCGATGTCCTCCGCTGACTCTAGCATAGCCTCCTATAATATAGTTAGATAGTGTTTTAATTACAGCAACCGAGACATTCTTCACCATAGAGAGGTGATCATTCAAGATACCCTCACACCATAGTGATTACTACTTGTGTATAGTTGTGATTACTAGTTGTGTATGGTTGTGATTACTAGTTGTGTATAGTTGTGATTACTAGTTGTGTATAGTTGTGATTACCGGTTGTGTATAGTTGTGATTACTAGTTGTGTATGGTTGTGATTACTAGTTGTGTATAGTTGTGATTACTAGTTGTGTATAGTTGTGATTACTAGTTGTATATAGTTGTGATTACTAGTTGTATATAGTTGTGATTACTAGTTGTATATAGTTGTGATTACTAGTTGTGTATAGTAGTGATTACTAGTTGTGTATGGTTGTGATTACTAGTTGTGTATGGTTGTGATTACTAGTTGTGTATAGTAGTGATTACTAGTTGTGTATAGTTGTGATTTGTGTATAGTTATGATTACTAGTTGTGTATAGTTGTGATTACTAGTTGTGTATAGTTGTGAATACTGGTTGTGTATAGTTGTGATTACTAGTTGTGTATATTTGTGATTACTAGTTGTGTATAGTTGTGATTACTGGTTGTGTATAGTTGTGATTACTAGTTGTGTATAGTTGTGATTACTAGTTGTGTATAGTTGTGATTACTAGTTGTGTATAGTTGTGATTACTGGTTGTGTATAGTTGTGATTATTAGTTGTGTATAGTTGTGATTACTAGTTGTGTATAGTTGTGATTACTAGTTGTGTATAGTTGTGATTACTAGTTGTGTATAGTTGTGATTACCAGTTGTGTATAGTTGTGATTACTAGTTGTGTATAGTTGTGATTACTAGTTGTGTATAGTTGTGATTACTAGTTGTGTATAGTTGTGATTACTAGTTGTGTATAGTTGTGATGTGGTCATGAAAGTGGTCATGATTTCCATGAGCTTCATAATGTGTGACTATTCTTATACCCCACCATACGCGACTGGTCATCACTATAGTGTGAGGGAACCATCAGTCAATATTAGCAGGCTACATACTGGTGTCTATCCGCACAACAAATCTGTTCACGACCTTTTCACGATATCTGACGAATCAATGTTAAAATGGCGTCTATTAACTCATCTTAATAATTCGACACTATCTCACAGGAGCTGCCCTGCTAATTCTCCACATTGTGCACTGCATGACGTTACCAGTCTTCATTGGCCCAATCAGAAATAGAATTGTATCTGACATAAGTAACATTACCTGTCCAATCGTTGACACCTGGAGCTCCCATCAATAAATATCTTCCATCCTACAAAATATACAAAAATATACATAAATATACAAAAATATACAAAAATATACAAAAATATACAAAAAATATACAAAAAATATACAAAAATATACAAAATATACAAAATATACAAAATATACATAAATATACAATAAGCCATAATGTTACAGTTTTTCTGTCGAGGGCTCCGATTGGCTGTATTCACTGGTGTACAATCTAATCAAATCATTGCCTTCTATTATACAATAAAGGTTGCTATTGCAGTCAAGGTATAAGACGAAGTTCGGGATAACTTGACATTGTGAAGATGTGATACAAGAAAGGTGACTATTACAGTCAAGGTATAAGATGAAGTTTGTAATAGCTTGACATTGTGAAGATGTGTCAAGTCTTGTCAAGGTATAAGACTGTATTTTTAAACGTACCTTAGAATATTGGACCGAGCTTCCTAACATGCCCATACCATAAACATAATATCCTGTTTCATGAATCTGTTTCTTAAAAAACTCCAAGGCCGGCCAAACACTCGTCTCGGTAAAATCTAAATCTTTTCCTGACTCATAACATAATCCATTCATAAATTCGTGACCTTGAACATGATATTCTCTGTCTCGCCATCTCGGAGCACAAACCTAAAAATAGACAAACCTTCCTTTGTTAGTTAATTTCATGAATGGTACTTTTACTCTCGATTTTGCCATACTTTGGACGAGATTTTGATTAGCGGAATCGTCTTGCTTGTACAGGTGTCCGTTGCAAAGTTGACCATGTTTACTCTTTTCAAAACACCTGATGGTACTTCTCTTTTGAGGAGTCCACTACTATACAACTTTTACTCTGAATTTTGCCATACTTTGAACGAGATTTTGATTACCGGAATTGTCTTGCTTGTACGGATTGTTAAAATAAATAATTTCGTCTTACCACCACGTTCCAGTCACCATCTTCATTAATATCAAGAGACGCTCCCAACCACTGATCGTTTTTACTATGAAATAAAGTTATATTCTTCCATTTCACTACTGTCTGTTTAATATTCCCTAAAAAATATAAAAAAATTCAATTTTAGTGAAGCTTTAAATGTCTTTATACTAAAGAGATTGTAAAGACGTTTCCTAAACTTTTTATGTGTATCAGAGACACTGATAGCATCAATTTACATCATTCTAATTTTCAATCAGACGTCTGTGGTTCCTGTAATTCCACTAAAACTAAGTGTTTGATAAGCCTTATGTTTAGGGCCTATTATCATTATTATATCAAGATATAATATTTTGACGTCATTATCGTAAAAACCATTTAACCGAATTGATTAAAAACTCCCTACCTTTGGAATGAATTTCTACAATTTGGCAATGGTTGGGATATTCTGGTGAACATTTATACAAAGCGCCGGAACGTTTTACATCCGGTAAATTGGAATCATTGGCTTTCGGTGCTCCGATTAGAATCCTGAAACATACAAACATTTTAGCAAGAAGTGTAAATAGATAAAAATTAAATCAATCATTGTGGTCTGGCGTCTATCTGTCTGATACACCAGTTATCTCCCCTACAAAGATGGCTGCGCCCATGAAGTAAAGTTTTGTAGAATGTTCTTGTGCTGAATTATGTTGTTTTAGTTGGTTTAAAAGCTGAATTCAATTGAAATATGAGTAGGAAAGTGTTTGAAATAACTAAAACATTCAGAACAAAGTTTGAAGCGACGAGTGACGAAGTTTTACGATGGTTTCCAGGTCATATGTTTAAAAGTATGGAGAGAATTCAGGCTGTTCTGAAGGATATAGATTGTGTAATAGAAGTTCATGACGCGAAGATTCCATTTTCTGGACGAAACCCGAGATTCAGGGACTTCATTAACTTACGACCACATATTCTACTCTTGAATAAATACGATTTAGCGGATATAAATGTACGTCGAAAGGAACTCATCGAAAATAAACTAAAAACACAGGGCGTGGATACAATATTTTACACTGATCTTCGTACCTATGAAAAGAGTCCAATTTTAAAAGACCACATTCTACCAACGGCTATAGAACTGACGAATTCCCGGCCGAGATATCAAAGACAGGGGAATCCAGAGTATAATATTTTAGTCATCGGAGTGCCCAATGTTGGAAAATCAACGTTTATCAACGCTATAAGATGGTCTCACATCAAAACTAAAGGCAGAGCAACTCAGGTCGGAGCTGTGGCCGGAATAACCAGATCATTACTTAACAAAATAATGGTACATAATAACCCTGTGACGTATGTTTTCGACACCCCAGGGATCCTAACGCCATCTATACCCAATGTTGACGCTGGAATGAAACTAGCTATCTGTCGCTGTATCCCGGATAAAATCGTGGGACCAGAAAATATGTCGGATTATCTACTCTTTTGGTTGAATTCTCATCAACGTTTTGATTATGTTGATTTCTACGGACTGAAAGAACCAATTGATAATGTTTACGACTTTCTAGCAGAAATCGCTATCATAAACAATAAAATTAACAAAAGCAGAAATCAGGAAACTTCCAACGAACACATTATGGTGCCAAATTTCGAGTGGGCTGCTAATAAATTCTTGAAAGATTTTAGAAACGGTCGACTTGGACAGTATTTCTTGGATGATAACGAGTTAATGGTGAAACAAACTGAGGAGATTAGTAAAAACTAAAGACTGGAGCAGGCCAGGATAAGAAAATGTCACTTGCATTTAGATGATAAAGAGTTAATGGTGAAACAAACTGAGGAGATTAGTAAAAACTAAAGACTGGAGCAGGCCAGGATAAGAAAATGTCACTTGCATTTAGATGATAAAGAGTTAATGGTGAAACAAACTGAGGAGATTAGTAAAAACTAAAGACTGGAGCAGGCCAGGATAAGAAAATGTCACTCGCATTTAGATGATAAAGAGTTAATGGTGAAACAAACTGAGGAGATGTCCATTGTATCGTTTGTGTTGAATATTCAAGTGAATTCAAACATTTACTTTTCAGTTATTTTGTCGATTCGCTGAAAAAAATGACATAGTGCTATTACCTCTTAAAATATAATAAAAGTTAAAATTTCATCTTTGTCTTTATTTAATGACACAAATCAGAGTTCCTGATTGGATTCGATGGGACAAAAAGCCAAGTCCTGTCGCTTGTTTGTTAGTAGATCACTGTAAGGTTTGTTCTTGGCCTATTTTCCCTCATTGCACACTGCATGCTTTATAATTTAATGGTGGCATCAGTAAATTTTATTCTCCAATATATATGTCCAAAATGAAATGAAATGAATGGAGTTTTACGTCCTACTTTTCTGCACCATGTTGGCTAATGAAAACAGGCAATGCCATGCAGTGTACAATGAGGGAAATTTAGTCAGGACAGCAGCATTAATAAATATGTCGGAGAGCAGATTAAAACATATTGATCTTAATCATGACTAGTAGCAACTAACAATATCCCCACCCCACCCATCCCATCCCTAGTTATCAAATTTTTCTTGATGTATAAATGTGACAGAGTCTGTGTGTTGACCCAGATTCCTGGTATAAAACTGTCTATTAAACAAGACAAGCTGTGACAGATTGAAGTTCAGTTTAAACTGATCATTAAAAATACTGTGAAAACAGGATGGAAATGTCAAAACCTGGTAGAAATAATATATTAATAACTATACGTTATGGTTTATATCATAATATTGATAAGTATATCACTATATCTGATTAGTGGTGGCCCCTGGGAGGTGGGAACATGACCCCCCCCCCCCATCCCACAAAAAAGGTAAAAATTTTAGTATTAACATGTAATGTAATAATATGAAAAGAAAACTCTTTCAACTTGTAGAAAATGCAAAACATATTTATGTGCCTGAGGACGACGGGAAACACGTCGAAACGTTGTATAAAACTTAAACCAGTGATTGTTGTTCTATAAAGCTGTATCTATATACTTAATGTTCTCTAGAATGAAATTTGAATTTAGTATGAACTAGGTGCAGAAAGGTAGGATGTAAAACTCCATTCATTTCAAACACCATATACATCTATATCTACAGTCTACATGACACTTTTCCTTATTGAACACTGCATGGTGTTACGGTCTTCATTAGCCCAATTAGGTACAGACAAGTAGGAAGTTAAACTCCATTCATTTCATATTATTTGAATAATGAATTAGTAAGTAATCTATAACCAGGGGTTGAAGTATTGAATATTAAATATAATATAATTATATATAATAATCACTGATAATGACCAGAGTAATTATTACCAACTCTGATAATCATACTAATTAACTACCCTAATTAACCCATTAATTAACTTCTAAATTACAACATGAAAATGTCAGAGTAATTTTAACTGTGAGGGCGAATAATTTTCATCCAGTTTTGAGTTATTTTATGTAAATTTTGACGCGATGAATGAATTGAATAAAAATCTACTTTGAGAACCTTCGCCATCGAAAAATGAGGCTAGTGCCATTGTCATGGTAAAATTACCCTCATTTCAACTCAAGACTAGGGGTAAAAATATGGGGCAGATTGACTCATTGGGGGGTCAACTGTCTAGGCTGAATTCAAAAGTCGGCAACTCCGTGGAGCGTCTGAAACGGTTCTATCAAGAAAATCAAAGAAAGGAACCACCCCCGCCCCCCCCCCCCCCCC